TACATTTGGAGCTACATGAATAGTTACACAAAATAAGAGATGACATTATTACATTATTTGGTCAAATTATCAATAAAAATATGTAAAAAATATTGTAAATATATGAATAATACGTAACTACATCTTTTATTTTGGGTCAGAAGTGGTAATTAATAGAAGTTATGTAGTTTTAGTGAGGGAGTGTTTTCACTTTTCACTAATTCTTCATTTAAAATAATGGGATTAAAGAATGGTGATTAAAAAGAAAGAAAAGCAAGCAATTGACTTAGAGAAGTCACAATTACGCTAGGCTGACATTTGGTGTAAAGGTTTACATTTTGGGAGCAACAAGGCGTACAATTCAACTCTCTTCAATCCACTCCTATAAAGCTTTAATTAATTTGGTCTTTACATCTCAGCAGGGCAATTGAAGGAGAGGTAGTTAAAAGGGTTATGATATGATGGATGGTTGAGGAAAATTGAAGGTCATGTCTATATGCCCCACAGTCTTGGTCTCCTCTTTTCTCCATACAATGATTAAGTCTCCTTCCTCCATTCATTTCTTCAAAGGATGAACCCATCCCCAAGGACCCTTTCAGACTCCGCCGAATGATTATTGAGAGAAGGTAAATTAGATTTTGATCGCAGATTGGTGACAAAGAATGAAGTCTAAACTTGATACTTGGAGAGACCTTATGCTTAACATAGTTGTCTTCCAGCACAGTTTCCAAGAATCAAACTCGAATCTTACCTTCTTGGCACTTCTTGCCTTTGGTAACTACACAACGCCCACCGGCTTCTCTTATATCTAAGAGTTGTACCATGAGTACTTTCATATACCCATTGCATGCATCACTGGAAGTCACAACATACAACATTTGTAACCAATTTTAATCAAAACTCACTACAAATTGTAGAGTTGTAGAATATTCTAACAAAATAGTATAAATTCATTATGAACTCTGCTCCAAAACTATCATATTGTACGGAATACGTATAGTTACAAAGACGGTTACAATAAACATGCTTACAGATATAGCTCCGAAAACTAAAATTAGTTATTTTAATTTATATTATATTAAAAATATTAGAACATTGATAATAATAATAAGAATTAAAATAATAATGAGACTATAATGAAACATTGACCGGATAGCTAAAGTCTTTATTGTAGAAAGCTATCGAAAACCGAATTTGTTGACAAAGTTTGAAAAGATGAGCTAAAGAAACTACAAGACTTGTTGCTTGGCTTGATTGGTCGCTCGCTAGATGTGCCTGAAACACGAAGAGTGAGAAGGAAGGAGGAGTCGCTACACTTACCTTAAGGTATTAGGGTTTGCGTAACATACTCATTTTTGTGGACACTGCTCTCTCGAAATAAAACTGTTGACAATATTGAACTAGTACAAAACTATCAACACATGCGAATGAGTACATTTGTGATGGTTTAGGCCCATAAAAAATTTAGTATTTAGATGGTGATGAAGAGTGCCTATAAGGTTCTAACTTTGGGATGCTATGATGGAAGGAAATGGAACGGATATGACGCTTTTGAAAAAGTTATGGACAACTTGAGTTCACCCCAAGTACTAAGCTTATCTTGTAACTTAATACCGATGAAGGTGGTTGTTCATAATGTTTACCCACTTTGTCACACTTCGAAGGAAACAATCTTGCATACGTTTATAAATTGTCATTTCACACGATGAGTATGGGGTGCCTCCTTTTTCGGTTGATATGCGCCAACTACAAGATCCTTTTGATATTGGCTTTTAGTCATCTTGCATTTGTTATACTAGCACGATAATGGCTTAGCCTTTCACCGTCTCTGGAAGATTGAGTCTGCCCGTAATGTTAAGGTTTCAAAACAAGAGATATCCCCCCCCCAGGGTGTGATCACATACATATGAGGATTTCGAAGATTGGTGTAAGGTGCGTGGAAGTTCCAAGGTACCTTACCTTGGCTAACCTTGGAGTCGGATCTGGTGCTACAATCAAATAAGAGAGGCCACTTGAGAATTAATTAAAGTTAAACATGGTTGTCTATGTATGACATTTTGATGGGTTTGAAGGCCTTGGTTTCATTGCACGGGTTCATGATGGACGATTCATAGCTGCCACGAATATGAGATGTAGAGAGAGTTATGGTGCAAAGAAGCATAGGTCATTATAGTTAAGAAAGTACTCAGTTAGATTAAAGCTAAAGAAAGGAGACAAGTTATTCGGGAAACAGACTATAGGGAGGTGGTGGGCTCATTCATTGTTACTACCCTAGGACTAGTCATACTTTAATTATATTATTGATGATTGTAAGCATGTCAAAGTTTTCTATCCTCGAGACCTTAGTTTTCCCTTTATTCCTCATTCTTGAAATGAAGCAAATATTTATTAGCACGTAATGCGTGCTCTGATAATGATGTAGGGGAGTGCAGGGGCGGAGCCAAAGAGGAGCAATTGACTGCAATTCTCCAATTTTTATTTTTTAGTATATATAGAGAGAGAGAGGGAGAGAGAGAGCAGAGCAGAACATAGCGGAGCAGAGCATTGGGGGCAGAGACTGTATAGTGGAGACGTGCCACATTGCCCACATCAATTGATAATACTATATGATTTTTTCTCTACTAATTTTGTGTTATTTTTAATATCTATTGTTTTTTTATTAAATTAATATGAAGATTATGCTCAAATCAACACTTGTTTTATAAATTAACAGTTTTGATGAAGAAATTGAGTACATGCATAATATTTCTTAAAATACTTATATTTAAATTATATGAATGTTAGTTTGACATAAATTCATTAATTTTTTTAATCGTTTTATACTCCGTATTATTTTTTTAAATAAATATTTGGGGCACTACTCACGAGCTCTCGGTATAATGCACCCACTACCCCTAAATCCTGGCTCCGCCACTGGGGGAGTGGTTTGACTAACCTCATACTTTATTTTAATGGTTATTTATTGTCATATATATTCTTTAAAATTTTATATTTTCTGTTATATTATTTTTTTTACCTTAATCATTATATATAATGTATTTGTGAGAAGTTGTAATGTTACACCACTTAAGTGGTGTAAAATCGCGACATCAGTGGTTTTGGGGCACCTACGTTTCTCCATTCGTAAAATTGATGATTCCTACTCCTTAGCCCCTTGGACCCATCAATTTCACCCCGCCGCCACCCCAGCACTCCCTAGATCACCGATTTGGGACCCCAAATCGACAGTCTAGGGGGGCTAGGGTGGCGTCGGGATGAAATTGATGGGTCCAGCGGGTTTGGGGAGTGTGTTAGGGGGTACGAACTATCAATTTTATGAACGGAGCACCATAGGTGCCCCAAAGCTACTAGTGTCACGTACTGGTGTCATTTTTGTTTGTGTAAGATTACAAGTCGTCTTTATTTAGATACTATAAATTATGATTAATTTTTGAGCAATGCTAGGGGTACACCAAATGGTGTACCCCATTTGTCCCCCACCCCCTTTTCCACCACTCATATTTATCTACTTTTTATTTATTTATTTTTTTTAAAATTCTTGCCTATTTATGTGGCAATGGACGGGGTGGGGGACAAATGAGATACACCTTTGGTGTACTCTTAGCATGGCTCATCTCACATACAGTGCCAAACTAATTTAAGTACTTCTAAACTAATACTCCGTACGTACTAGCACCAAAAATAAAAAAATACCGTATGTAGTAAACTTTAATAGGGAGTAATATTTACTTCCTCACTCCCTAAATGTTTGGCTAGTTTTATTTTTTCCATTCAAAATTGACAAACTTTTACAAATAGTAAAAAGTTGGTATTTTCAAGTACCTTGTAGTCCAAATGTCCAAATGTCTAATGACACCACGGGCAAGTACCTTCTATTCCCAGTGCGCGCAATAACTCTACGAATTTTAATAGGTTGAGAATGAATAAGCAAGACAAATACTCTAAACGTGGGAATTTCTCAGGTGCTCAAAACGAACATGCCCTTTGAACCTTACATTACATGACGATAATCAAGGATTTTTTTAATAGGAAATAATAATTGACCACAATGATAATTGAGAGTCAATATAGAGTTTGATTTTTGAACTATGAACAATTGGTTTAAGTTTATGAATATATAATATGGAGAATACCTACTGAGGAAATATAATTTTACACCAATTTATTGGAGTAAGATTATTATTACACCAATTCAATTAAAACATCTACGATACTTCAATCATACAATTGATTGTTTATACTTTAATTCACTAATAAATCCACAGCCGGACTCGGTCCTAAAGCACTCTCGCATTCTCTACAATAATACCTCTCAAACTCTAGTAAAAAAATTTGATCCGGTGATCCCAAAGTTAACAAGAAATCGGGTGGTGCAATTGGAGGGAGTACAGGGTCTAATAGGGCAGGTCAGGCTGGAGATTTACCAAGAAGGTAAAAATAATCAATTTTACAATCACGCGCCGTATGTGCTCATATTGAATTTGTATAAATTACCCTCTCATATTGAATATGGAGTACATATTTAATGTTGGTTATTCTTGAAGGTGTAACCCACCCCGGCGACCATTCACCACTGTCGCCACCCGCCGCTGCTGACCACCTATTATCGTCTCCCACCTGCCCCACAACCATCATTATCATTTATCCCCCCCCCCCCACGCGCGATACACTTCTCGCCATCAACCACGTGTCATCACCAGCCATTTACTATCACTAGCCATCCCTCGTCGTTGCCCATCGACTACCACCACCGCCACCACCTACCGCCACCAATCACCCATTGTTGCTAACTTTTTAGATCTCTTCAGACAATTTCTTTTCAAATTTCAAAACTTACCAAAGGGGTCTTTAATCTTTAATGCAGCCATAGGTATGAGAACACTTCTGTTTTGAAACTGAAATTGTAATCACAACCTTAGTTCTATAACCAAATTGGAATTGGAATGGAAACTTGACTTTCAAGAACCTGAAAATCTTGAAATTTTAGTTTAAAATGGCCCAAAAAAAAACTAGAACCAAAACCCAGACTCCAAAATTTAGTTGAAACTTCAATTGTCAATTCCAGTTAAACAAAATAAGGCAAATATTGCACTGGTACAACTTTGTTGACATTAAAAGTGCAAAACATGAACTTGGAGTATGTATACATATATATATCAGATATAGCAAGTTTAGTACTTCGTAATCCATAAAATCTGGAAACATGCCAATTAACTGCAGCAGTTATGGAATTGAAGATGGAAGTCAAGAAGAAAAAAACACAGAAATGATTTTAAGAATTAATAAAAGTAATTTTTTTTTAAAAAGGAAACTCCCCATTTCACAAAGTGGTATTAGCATCATGCGGATTTTTTGATAGAATCAACCCTCTGCATCCTGATCTGCTCTTTGATTTTTGCAATAAACTCAGCAGCTTTCTTATCAACATCTCTCCCTTCATCATCATCATCTTCATCTTCTTCATCTCCACTACTATGATCACCATCATCACTGTAATCATCTTCTGCACCACTCTCATGATGATGATGATGATCATCATCATCTGGACTACCATCGCGGGACCCACGTTCGTCGTCCCCGGGCTCGTCTGCGAGTTCGGGCTCAGGAAGGGGTTCAGAATCTTGCTTCATCTGGATGAATCTCCCTGATCTTGACCTCCATGGGATTGGAGAGGGAAGAACAGGATTCACATCTTCTTCTTCTTCCTGTTCTTCTTTATTGACAGAACCCTTTCTTTCCATTTTGCCCTCACCATCCTCAATTCTTGATTTCAAGCTCCTGACGGGCAAAAGAAGGGGTTTTTCACCAATTCTTGAAATCTCTCTGGTAACACTAAAACAACCCCTTTGTTCCTCAACGCCAGAAACTGCCATTGGTCCTCCCCTTCTGCACTGATTACTCCAAGTCTGCACAATATTCCTGCAATTCCCATCGATTTTCTCATCCATGACAGAAATACCCCCGGACCCACCACCGCCACCGCCACCATCATCATCAAAAACAGACGAGACCTGGAGCAACCCAGAGACAAAAGAATGGGCATTCTCAAACTTGGCTTCTCCCCCATTTTCCTTGTCTGGGTAATCAGATTTCCAGCTGAAGAGGCCGTAGGAGACCGCGATTCCGACGAAGACGAGCTGGAGGAGTTCCCAGACTGTGCTGCCCAGAGATTGGCTGAGGAACTCCGGGGCCTGAGGAGGGAGGAGGAGGAGAGAGACAAGGAAGACTGTGATGAGCAGGGGTTTGAACATGAAGTGTTTGAAGTACTTGGTTGGGTTGGTAGGTGTTTGCTTTGGTGGAGCTTGGGAGTCTCCTGCCATTGGAGGGGTTTGGAGAGAGTGGTGAAGAGAGCTTTGGGGGCTTGAGTGTAGAAAAGGAAAGGAAGGTGGTGGAAGATAGAGGAAAGAAGTCTTGACAACTAAGGAAAAGTACATAGAAGAGAAGAGAGAGAAAGAGAATAAAGAAAAGCAAAGAGGAGTGATGAGGAAAGTTTTTGGGTGGATAGACATTCTTGCCCCTTTTTTACTCTCTATTTTCACTCCATTCCATTTTTTTAAGGTACGTCCATTTTTGAGGAAGGTAAATCATGATATAATCTCTCCATCAATTGAGCTACCCATGCGAGCTCTCCATTCCATCTTCTAATGCCTTCTATTCTTGTTCATTGAAGAACTCATATAACTTTTAAAAAAATTTAAATATAAATAAATATTGTAGTTATATTAATGGAAAATGGTAATGACATTCGAGTTTGGTTGTTGGCATTTGGTACTCCACACTAGGGGTGTTCAAAAATATCCGATCCGAAATATCCGTCCACGATCCGGGCCGACCCGATCTGAAAAATGGATATCCGATCCGATATTTTAGCTTGTGGATATTTCGGATCGGATACCCAAAAAAAATCGGATCGGATATGGATTCAATTTCTGGATTTTTCCGGATAATCGGATATCCGATTTTTTTTTTTGCTATGTTTTTGGAATTTTATGAATAATATATTATGACTATATGTTTAAATGTAATTTTATGTTGATTTTGGAAATCACCCATTTTGGACTTTTTGCATTAGCATTTTAGAATTTTTTGTTTTAATAGTGTTTTCTTGTTTGTTTAGGCAAAATTACCAAAGTTACTCCCAAATTAAATTTGGTATCATTTTTTTATTAGGCCATTACCGAGTGTTGGAATTTTTCTTTTAGTAAATCTATATTGAATTTGATATTTTGGGTTGATTTTGCTATTTTACCTTTTTTTTTGTAAATTTTGGCTAAAACTCAACTTTTCGGATAATCCAGTGATCCGATCCAAAAAATCGGATATCCGAATTTCGGATATCCGAATATTTTCGGATCGGATATGGAATGAGTTTTGCATGATCCGAAATTTTCGGATATCCGAATTTTCGGATCGGATCGGATCGGATCGATCCGATTGATTACTTTCTTTGAAATTGACAACAATACCCTTCTAGGAAAAAAAAGGTTAATTACTCTTTTCTTTATTACTAAGAAATAGAAAGGCTAAAATAAAAAACAACCTAAACAATTAAACCAAAATAAAAACTGAAAAAAAATTAAAATTATGTAAAGGCACGAAGTTAAAACAAAATTGAAGCAAAAAAGGCAAAATTAAAAAAGGTTTAAACGACCAAAATTTATGAAACTTAAAAACACAAAAATAATAAATATTTATTGTAAATTAAATAGGTAAAATTTAATTTAATTAGAAATAAATAAATATTAAATAAAAATAATACGTGTGTAATCATTGTAATGTAAGTGGATGAATACATTAATTGAAAGAGTGTGTTCCATCCGCGCCAAGGTGACTGCATATTTGGAGTGAGTAGTGTGGATAATTACTTATAGTCTTAGGACTTGTTCTTTAGGACTGTAAAAAAAGAGTTGGATGTTGGAAGAAACTATAAAAAAACTAGGAGGAACTGGAAGAAACTAGAAAAAAACTGGAAGAAACTAGAAGGAACTGGAAGAACTGGAAGGAACTGTAAAAAACTAGAAGAAACTGGAAAAAACTGGAAGAAACTAGAAAAACTGGAAAAACTGGAAAAAAAACTGGAAAACCTAAAAAAACTTTAAATATATTTATTTTAAATTCTTGTTGTTATAAATTATTATTATTATTATTATTATTATTATTATTATTATAATTGTCATCATCATTATCATCATCATCATCATAATCATCACATTATCTTAGTGAATGTATTTAAGATATAAAAAAATATTGTTATTTTTTAAATACAAAAAACTACTTTTACAAAAAAATAATTATAATATAAAGTTAGCATAAATATAAAAATATTAAATTTTAAATAGACTGTGTAATTATATTACACCTCAATTTATTTATGCAGTATTTATTATACATAATATATTTGTAATTATAATTTATATATTAGAAGATTTTGTTCTAAATATCATACATGTCACATAATCAAACCTATTGTTTCTTTCATGATTGACATTTTATTTTCATTGAATTCCTATTTTTGGAATAAAGACATAAAACTTTTTTACAAACTAATATTATGGTTGTTTGAAAAATGAAATAAGGGGATAAAGATTATAAACCATTAATTTTACAAACTAATATTATGGTTGTTTAAAAAATGAAATAATATTGTATGTCGATAGGCCCTAGTAACAAAAAAGGATCTTCATCCGTTCCACAATGCATTACAGTGTTTATTATTCCAAAAATGTGATATATATTCTTGTCACTTTTTTTTAAAAAAAATTTTGATTTAGTTTTAAAATATATAATTTTCAGTTTTTAAATAAATCTCAATTTTTAAATAAAATAAATAAAAAAAGGTTAGGTTTTAATTTGTTTTGCGTAATGTATACGGAGTAATTAAAATAGAAAGAATAGATGGACAAAATGTGGAATAAAGCTGGGAAGTGGAGGGCAAGTTGGGAATGGAGAAAATGATGGTACGTTCCGAGGTTGCGTGGGATTGTGTGGTTAGGATTCCACTTTTGGACGGCGTACGCTATAACTCTTTTGCTTGGTTGACTGAATTTTTTGTAGTCTCGACTCTCGATCTTTTTTTTTTTTTTTGAAGCTCAATAATAAAATTCAGTTCTTATTTTTTGCACAATAAAGTTTTTATTTTAATTTTAAAAATATGATTGTGTTTAGAGCTGGTAAATCCACCAGTCAAAATATGCTGAACTGAATTCTTTTCCTTGAATGTCATGTTTTTTTAAGACTACGGATTTAATAAATTATTTGTATTATTTTACTATTTTTGTGGGTCACACTTATTACGACGTATTGTTTTTTAATTCTATTTTTTTAAATAAACAATACAAATTTTTTAATTTATTGATTTAGAGAATATGTAATATTACACCACTCAAAGAAGCGTGACATCCGTGATTTTGGACCACCTAAAATGATCTGTTCGTAAAATTAATACGGAGTAGTTTCTATCTCCTAAATCCTCATGATCTATGAATCTATCAATTTCACCCCAACCCCCCCTTATACCCTTCCAGATCGCCGATTTGGGACCCCCAAATAGACGATTTAGGAGGCATTGGGTAATATTGATGGGTGGGAGGTTTAAAGAGGTAGGGGGCACGTGGGAATAATACGGAGTATATTTTACAAAAAGAGTACCGTGGCCCGTGGGTGTCACAAAACCACTTGGGTCACAAAGTGTGTTATTTTGGTTGGTGTGACATTACATGTTCCCATTAATTTACACGAGACTAACTTATGTTCCAAAGATTTGTTGGACAATGTGCTATCATGAATATATATTTTTGCAATGTCCTTTGTCCATTGTATTTTAGGTTTTGATAATGACAAAAGGGTGACAAAACATCATCATCATATTGTGCATCAAGGCTAAGAATCAAAGCTACAACAAGTTCATATCCGTCCGTGAAGAAGGGACTTGAGCATCGGTGGAAGGAACGAGACCGAAGAGGTTGTTTCCTTAGTTGGGTAGTGTTTTAGGTCTTAGATTATGTGTTAAAGAGTATGGCATCTCTAAGGTTCATTCCCTTATCATCCTATCTTTAAAGCACATTCTTTTCAGCAAACTATTCGAATAAATTGAAAACTATTCGAATAAATCCCTGAACTTCTATTCTTTTCATCTCTATCCACTCCCTAACTTCTATAAACAAC